AAACAAATTTAAGTATAGGCACTAAAGAGAATAAGAATCCGTATTTATAGTTTAGATAAGAAACGTTAATTATAGCTAGATTATTGTATACTACTTCTAGTAATTTATATCGTGCATTAGTAAAATATTTTTGCACTGAAGTTATCAAGCAGTTGGATTATTCATACCAGCCTTTAGCAATGTCCGTATTACAACACCGTCTAATGTATGAACTTTTTAACTGTGAATGTAGGTGTAGTTAAGAGTGAAGATTGAGAACTTTGCGCTAATGGCAAATAAAATTTTCAGAAAAACGATTAACTTTTCACTGTTGATTTATAACATCATTATGCTACGTTGGTTTTATAGAGAAATAAATCCGAGCAATAGCAGAATCGTGAAGTGTACATTTCCATCTTATAGTATTTAAAAAGCTATATTTAATGCGATCTATTGATTGAAGTTACGTAATTGCAGAATTTTTGCGTTCCCGTAGTTAAGCCGACCATAATAATTCGTGCAAAAATTTCGCTCTTCTCACCAATTACATAACAGAATGCACGGACGTGCAGCTCAGTGCCTAATATTAAACTGTTGCTCATTGCGCGGCGGTGTGAAACGGATTTTGCCGATAAGTTATGAATGTACTAGATGCCATTAGCGTGAATGAATTGCGCGTTTATTTCCATGCGTTAATAAATAACAGTTTCCTCGGCGTCTTGCAAAAATTGGAGCAACCTTGTAGCGGGTCTTCAATGTTTCTCAAAGTAATTGCATAATATAAGATCGAAGTGATTCGATTATTTGAGGATAGACAAAACGGTGATCGTAGTGTTTTACGGTAATTAGGTATAATAATTGAGTAATCGAAAGTACGATTTTAAGTATAAAATACGTGTTTGCTGCTTAAAATAATGATTTTTGTCGGGTTGAAGCAGCTGATAGGCAAACTGTTGTATCACATCAAGTCGGCGAAAGCTCATATTCGCAAGGCATCAAAGCATTTGCAGGCACGTTGTTTGATGCTGAAAGCACATACACCGATCGTTATCGCCTGAATCGACCAATTATGACGCAACGTTAATGATCCCAATGAATGGTGTCATCGAGTCAATGACACTGCGAGCGGTGTAGGCAAAAAAGCAGGTAGCTATACGAGTCGTGCAATTAGCTCCACTTGCCATGCTATAATCACCGTATTACATGGAATCATTGCGTGGCATTTGAATGTGTCGAGAGAGGATCTGATAAATATTTAAATCTTGTTAATTAGCGCCATTACACTGGTATAACTATAATCAAGTTGTTTAAACAGATACTTCATCATAATCACTTTTACTTATAGCAACACACTGTTCCTTTCTCTGATTATTTCTTTTATTGAAATGTTTAAACAAACATTTCTAAAGTTTATTATATACACCTTTACATTATTGTTTATAAATTGTTATTTTTGTATAACACTATTAGTCTTATTTTTACATCATAAAAAAATTTGAAGAGTTCATTTTACAATTAAAACATTAAACTTTAATTTTACTATAACTTCAAATTCTCTGTATCTACTTACATTGTGCTTACAGGTCTCGTAAGACGGTGACTGTTGCTTTGCGAAAAAATATTCTATTTTTACACAAAAATTATTTCTTATACTTTAACGGTACGATCGAGAGAAGAGAGAGATGATGCAGTATATTTATTTATACCTCAAATGGAGCGGAAGATGATGTACGATGATGGTACAAGGAGTAAGATGCACTCCTTGCTCTAGGAACGCAGCAATTTAGCGATATCAGTCGACAGACCGACGTGGCTAATTCTATCTAGCGCCACTCGATAATTTACTCGTGGAAATGTATTAGATTGCAACCGGGGCGACTAATAATTACAGGCTGTCTTGTATATGAAACGCAGCTAGGTTACAAACGATCAGATGTTAAACTCTAAATCGAAAGTCACCCATTGGTTATCAATGTCAATTCCTGTCATCACTTCCTTCCTTCCATCATTCCTTTTAAAACCGTTGAAAGTAAAGTAGATTCTCACAATTAATTGCGATTTTTCAAACATTTGAATTAAAAAATTATTTATGAAGATTTATATTATGAAGATTATGTATATTTAAAAATAGATTTTCTAATTTTTTAAAAAACATACGAATATATAATCGCTATTTATACGTAAATATATTCTAGAAAAATAAAAAGATTGAAAGATTTATCTTTTATAAAATTCTAATAGTAAACAGTTAGCCAATTATAAATCATATTGGCGTTTCGCAACAGCGAGATTTGATGTATGACCGGTTGTACGATGCACTACGAACGTGTTTCGTTTATGTTCTTTTGGTACAAAGACGTCAGTCAGGTCCCACCTTCGTCATATACATTGTATTCAAAATCTCATCGTCATTGTTCTCACAGCCGATACTTTCCAAAAGAAATAAGATTCCAGAAAGAAATCTAAATTATGTACTTTTGTTTATTATATATAATGTAACGTGTAATATTATAAACACATGTACCCCTACTTATTTCTAATTTCGTCTTTGAATTAAGTCTAATAAAAAACTCGATTTTATCGAATGCTTTAAAACTATTTTATTTTTTTTTTAAATAACACAAAAAAATTCTTTGATTTGTTTTTCAAATTAATTAAATTTCATAAAGTAAAATTTGTAAAATTTATTAGTAACGAGTACTATTTTCTATACTTACAATTTAAAAAAGTACAATACAACAATATTTTACTATAAAAAGACTTTTGATTTCAGAACATTAGAAAAATTTGATTTACATAAAATCCTTTTTGAAAAAATTTAATTAATTTAGCTGATAAATTTGTACATAATTATAAATGAAGAAAGCTTGATATTTTCAAAGTATTTACATTGATTATAGAATATTAATTCTTTTGACATTTTTAAATTAGCAGAATTTGCTTTGACCATTCTTCAACTGAATTAATAGATATTTTAATTAATTTTTATCACAAATATTCTTCTTGTATATTATTTAAAGATTCGCGTCGCAAAACGAAGAAGAGTGCATTTGCATCTTTTAAAATAACATCTTTATACTTCGTTGCCAGGTGACGCGTCATGGCGGAAGCGCCCAAAGCTGGGTTCCGCGACTTCACGCGGGTATATAAAATCAGTCTTCCACCGACGGGAGCCGTCAGTACGAAACAACACCTCTGACAGAGAAACTCGGCTTTCGGATCTGTTCACTAGTCTTCAACATGTACCTTTTACTGCACTATACACACGTTTAATTTACACGCAAAATAATATCAAAAAAACAAAATTGTCGAAGAGCACTACGATATAAACTCCCATGCAGCTATCCTACAGAGATATTCCGATTATAACATTGATGAACGCTGATTTGCTTGTCGATCGGCGTTGGTGAACCAACTAGCTAGTGAACTAATTGACGATAAATCTATTAGCTTACGAATATTGAACCCTTTCGAGATAATTGTGTAATCACAGTGCGATCAATCAAAATGAATCTCTTCAATGTGATAATAATTTGCTCTACAAATTTACGAATAAGATACGTATTCTGTGATCAATATGTGAATTGATATTAGCTGCCGTATCTAGTTAGTGTGTTTATTCTCTGTCAACAGTTTCACGTATCAATCGAACTCGGTGCAACAGGTCAGTCAAGTAATCCCAATGATTATGACTTAACGTAACCGTCGTTTTAAATTAAATAAAAGCTTACAATAATATTTAAATAAAATTAACAATAATATTTTTAAAATTTAAAATTAATATAAAAGATATACATAATTTTTTACATAAAGTTGTAATAATATAAAATGCTTACTTTAAATGAAGTATTTTAACAAATAGTAACTAATATAGCTTTTTATAATCTAATTAAATCACTAAACTAAACCACTTATATTTTATTAAAAATTACATACAACAATAATATACGAATAAACGTTACATTAATGCATACATTTTAAATGTTGTCGTAATAACCAATCAAATAAAGTTTTTATCAGCCAACTTAGTAATTTTAGTATATACCAAGTTCGGTTCTTGTAATTATCGTAGCCAATATAATTGCAAACGCAATCAGGATAACAAAACCGGGATCGGAAATATGTAATACGCAAACCTGTGATTAGCTACATTCTACTCGGTCGAAAATGACTCCTTGTTCACAGGCTTGTTCACAAGTTCGCCTTTGCAAACGTGTATTAATAGTGCGGTAATGCCAACAGGATTCGATAATCGTAAAAATAAACGGTATTTGCGTAATATTTTCTCAAATGCTCTATCACACCGCGATGCAACGTGTTTTCTTTTGCAATAAAGTAAGATTCCCAATAAACAGTGGTTTTGATAGAAAACACGGAAACGCACGCAAATAATTTTTCCGTCCTTAAAGGACTATTACATATACATTGAATAACCGCATGATATCATCAACATGCATGTAAAAATTTTCGTAACAGCATAATTTGTATTGTATAATTTTTATATTGCTCATAATTGTAAAGATTATAGTGTAAAATTTTTGAAATAATTATATTTCTAGGATAAATTCTAATAGAATAGATAAATTTATCACGTATAAAATATCAATAAATAATTATCATTTTTATACTGTTTGTCACACATATTATAAGGTAATGACAATCTCAATAAAAGAACTGTTAATATGTTAGTAAAATGGACTGCAGCTGTCAACAAACTATGTAACATTTTAATACATAAAATTATCAATTTTATCTAGATAATAACTAGTTTCAATTTGAAAGACAGAAACCACACGTTCTGCTTAAAAAGTTAATAAAATGATATGATCATGTACGCACAGTTTATTTGTCACGCAGACGTGCGCGATACAATCAAGGTATACTCAAACCAGCAATAATTGCTAGTTTAATGAGCAATTCGTATGCGATTTAATGACCATATATCACGCGGGTTAATTTGCATCGGTCGCGTATTCGCACCTCAAATAATGCATGCTGCAATCCCGTTTCGACTGTCAATAATGTCGACAATCTTTTGCGACATTCTGGAATATGTTCGTCACCGAACAGCATGTGTCGAGCTTACGCGACAGTTCACCGGTGCAATGACATTATCACGAGAAACTATCGCATTTCAGTATATGCAGCAGGACGGTGCGCGCAATGCTCACCGTCCGCGAGTTCTGTTTCTGCAAAAAAAATTTCTTCGGTACTTCGAACTGGCGCGCTCGACTGCAGCAAATTTATCGTACTCGATTATGCAAGCGCACTCGTATAATTGGCGACGCGACTTCGCGCGGCCTTTGTCGGCGATTTATCTCGCAACGCGCGTGTATAGATTTGCACGGAGGCAGGCTTTCTTGTAAGCGATCGAAATTTATGATCCGTTTGTAATCTGTAGTTCGCGTGTCTGAAATTCTTGTTGTCCAATGATTGATTTCGATGACAGAACATCACGTGAATCGACACTTTTTTCCAAGATTAACAGAATAGCTGTTTGAAAAATAATGAAGAGGATAATCTTAATCTCAATTTTAATGTATCAAAATATGTAATGAAACGTATTAAATTTCTCTGGTACGTGTAATCTGCGGATAATTCTAGCCTCGGGCTACTCCACCTTCGACAGGTCGACGTACGAGTAATATAGGTTCTTGTCTAACACTCACTAGCAACTGGAGCATGAAAACATTATACGTGCATGCACTCACATGCACGCCAGCCGATGACTTCTCTAATATCCAATTTCCTTCGTCTCAGCTAGCTTCTCCAGCGTCACGCAATAACATTTCGTTTGAATGTCAAACGTCATTTAAAAGCAAACAAGTCGCAATAATAATGATAATTAATTCGGTGGTTATTAATTAAATAAATAGCAAATTGCGTTATTATAAAATTTATAATAATTTATAGTTTTCCTTTTATAAAATATTCGTATTATAAAATATCATAATTTACTGCTCTTTATATCCGTCATTTTACTGAAATATTTATACAGTTTAAAGTTTTTATTGAAATAAAATATATTTTTGTTTACAAATTTATAATATTAAGTATTTTCATTCGATGTGATCATAAAAATATTGGTAGCTATATCTTGTTTTTAATTTATCTCTAAAATTATTTTGTATCTTTTAAATTGTAGTTTTATTATTTATAACGTATTCTTCATAAAAAAGTATGACAAAGAATACAAATAGAAAACAATTGTGAACAAATTCGACATACGTATAACAAATAAATAAAAACGTATCGTTAGTTATTTGACATTTTATCGATCAATATCGCTACGGTGAATTTGCTAGGGTTCAAGCTCTCGTAAAATTGCAGATCGTCGGAACTTTATAAAGACGATGATGTAATTGCATTCCACAAGATTGGTACTGATGTTCGTAAGGTTTTATCTTTGAAATGTTACAACCATAATATTCTCTTGTTGTTATTTGCAAAATATCATACTGAAAAAAAATATATATATTAATAAATATTCGATTGAATAGTTTTAAGTGAATATTACTAAATATATATGTATATTTATTTTGTACAAAACCGTTAATTTAATTTAACGATATTTTTTATACAGTTGATATTTATTTACTGTAAGTAAATGTTTATACATTCAGTACTATTAAAAAATACTCATACATACATTCAGTAAATTTTTTCGGTATAAGGAAATACAAAAAAAAAAACTCTTAGAGATTCGATTATATTGCGAATTCTGCGACATAATTACATAAACAAGACACAAAATATTAATCATGTTGATTTATTTACTTTAAAAAATTCAAAATATATTTGTTATTATTTTATTTTAAGGTGACATCATGTTTATCAAATTTCAAATCTTCTATTGCGATATTGCAGTTTTATAAATTGTATTGTTTGAAATTGAAATGAAAAATTGAGAAAACCTAACTCAAAAAGTCGATTTTCATAGATACCTAATTAAAAAAATGATATTAAAACTTCACAATTTGTGGTAATGTTCTAAACATTTATATAATATTAAAATAATTTATCATTAATACAGTATTTTAATAAAGAAGCTATATGTTTATACAATTTAATAACTTGTGCTAAATACTTCCAGTCAAAATCTACCGATCACATTGAGCATTATTTAAAACAGTGAAAAATGATATAAGGTTAAACGTGCAGAGTGCGGAAAGAAAAGTGTATACCGTTCTACCGGAAGCTGCAGCGAGATGCGTTGACAGTGAAGCCGCAAGAGCGAAAATCCGTCAAGATGCAATCACTCGTCCTTCCCTTTTTGCTGCTATCTTTAACGGTAAGGCATAAACGCAACGCAACTAATATATATTGACGTGTGATTTACCGCACCATTAAGGCGGCCGTCCGGCTGCAGCTTCAATGTCAAACTCGTATATCAAACGTGGGCGAAATTGTCCGTAAATATGTTCCGGCATGTGTCACAAATATCGCGCCGCCGCGCCAATCCTGATCCTTGAGGTCGATCGCATAATTTCTTCACGGAAAGGTAATAGATGAAAACCTATAAGACAAAATTCACAGAAGTCTTGACTTTTTTCAGTGTGCGAAATATGATAAAATTCTAATAGACGAGGTTCGCATACTATAAATGAAGAGATAAAAAGAATATGAAAAAGTTTACTTTATTATTATGTCTCTACGATTTTGTTTTCAAAATTCTTAATAATTAGTTTTGACAGCTATGTTAGAATGTCTTATTGTGTAATATTTATAATTTATAAAAATTCACACAGTTGAGTTTACAAAAAAAATTGTATTCAAATTATCTTCTATATTCATTAATTGTCCAGACAGATTAAATAAAAAGACCTATTTCAATATCTATTCTTCTTTCATTCACGATGCTTTTTCAGTCGACGATGAGAGACTTCCGCCAACGATGGCTTGGTCTCTACGAGGTAATAAAAAAAGTATTACACGGATCTTCGTCTCACGATGATAAGAATTTAAAAGAGCGTAGCTTTATCTACATATGAAAATTCTCCTAAAGTACATGCATACATTTTAGGCGAAGGTTAATGCACCGGTATTTAATTAATGTCATTGGACATGTCAATTAGAATATAAATTTCGGAGAAACTTATAAAACATATTTATATATAAAACAAGTAAAATTTAATAACAAATTAAGAATGAAACAAAAATAAAAACAAACAAATTTTTAATTATAATTCTAATATATAAATTACAAATTTCAAGAAATAAACAAAAATTATCCCATTTTTAACACAGTGCAAATATTCTTTAACTATATATTTTATAGTTTATACTTTGTACAGAATTTTAGTTACTTTTTCTTACAGAATTATAACAAAAGTGTTTTAAAAAAATGTACGATAAGAAAAAACTGGTTTCTTACAATTACATACTGTTTTTTTTATAAATTTCTAGTTGTCAGATTTAGATTAAAACGAGTTATGCTACACATTAATTAACCATAGTTATGTCAATGAAAAATACATTCAAGCGTGAAGCAACTTTGTGAGAAAGTAAAAAGAATTACTTTATTTAGCAAAAAAGACGGAAGTATCGCAAGATGTTAATTGGAACAAATGATCAATCTTGTACATTAACGTCATTATAATATCATTCCAACCTGACCAACCGGCTTATACGTAAAATGATCTTCTATTAACATGATTCAAGCGCTACTGGCGCCTAATTATAGACAATTTAAAGACGTATGAAAACCGTTCTTTCTACGTAAACGAGTGGCGACACGCGGAGATGGTTCGGAATTAATTGAACTTCCAGGTGATCCAATATTCGCACAGTCAGGTTTCGATATTCGTAAATTATGCTTGAGTAACCAGTACGTTGAATGTTGAATAGGAAGTCTCGCTTAACGCATTCCTGCGGCTAAGTGTTGCCGGCAATGCATATTTTTAGAATGGCACAGAATAATATAATCAGACGAGAATGTGCAACTTCCTGCCACATGATCCGAAATCGAATCGCGAACCTCAGTTGCTGCAAGTTCTTTTTTTGATCATCAATTTCATAACTTCTATAAATACTCCTCCCTCAAAAACGAAGATTAATGTTTTTATTCTTTACGCAGAAACTCTTGTTTCTTTTCATATATGTATTAAAGAATTTTTTAAGCTACAACTTCTTCTTCTTTTTAATATGAAAAATTTTATATTAAATGTAAAAAGGGTAATAATTTTTTTCTCTCTATCCTTTATTTTAATTTCATAAATTTTAGGCATCAATAGCTTTTTTTGTGTCACTGTACGACCGCAAATTAAAAATAGAAAATGAATACCTATAAGAAATATTAAAATAAAAAGCAAGATTTGTAGGATACAGCAGATATTCTCGTGAGAAATTGTTTTATTTTTTATGTCCAGTCGTATTGCAGTTTTTATTTACTTGAACGTATTTGACATGTTTATGTGGCGGCTATTCGTCTTCATTATTGTGAGAGCACTGCGGCGCCAAAAGTTTACGCCGACCCCAACATGACTCTAACGTGTTTGTTCCTAAATCGCGACGACGTCTTTATTTTCTGTTCGTTTTGTTTAATGGCTCGTAAGATTTCTTGAATTTAGAGTGGAACAGAATTTACTTGACTGGTACCGAGAAAGCAAACATTCGGTCGACGAATCTCTTCGTTATCGTCTTTTTGTCCTTGTTATAAGATTTTATATTGGACACAACTGTTTGTAATTTATAATCTTCATTAATTATATGAAATGAGAATAAATGGAAAGCTCTACATTATTCAAAACATTCTGTTGAAAGCTTCGTGACACTTACGGAAGTGTAATGTAAGTATATTGCGCGTAAATAACAGAGAATTATTTACTTTGACTTGAAAAAAATGCAACGGTATAAAATTTGTATTATATTTCAAATACAGTTACTAAAATATTATTATTATTAATTAAAATGTGATATCTAAATTTCTAGCTATAAGGTTTACAATGCACTAACCATGCGTTTTGCTTAAATGCCGGAGTATCAAGATTTTTTCAATTGTTTTATTATTACATTAGCAATTTATTTGTACAAACTAACAAATAAAGGAATTTATAAAAGCATTTTGTTAAAAAAATGTTCGATTGGCGAGCCTATAAAAAGATCGTCTACATGCATCGCGCAGCAGGTTTGTCATTATGCGCTGCATTTAGGGCGATGGGGATTTTAACGGCTTGAGTGGCCACGAAAATAACACACCGAAAATAAGCGCTAAGCAAAGATTCGATGCTAGGTATCATCGCGAGACGATCGACTTGACGCCGATCTGGATTATTGTAAAAAGAAAGACGCGCTGTGACGCTATCTCAGGTTCATTCAACTTCACTCTCGCCAGTGACATTACGCATAATATAGCTAGAGGTGGACCTTAGAAATAGTCATGCATTTCGATACGAGAATCTCGGAATATCATTTCAAAACTTCTTGTCTCATTTAAAATAACATTTCCAAGATTATCATACGTTATTTGTTTTTCGTCTCGTCTCGTCTCGTCTTATTTCGAAAAAATCGAAGAAATTCATGCCAATTTATGACAATGCTGTGTCATTATATATATAAATGTTTCAAATAAATAAAACGAAAGATAGTCAATAATCTCGAACGTCTTAAGATAAAATTTAGGAATGTTGAAAAGCGAGAATATCGGTTTATTGAGATGAGAAAAGTTTATCAATCATTTCTTTTTGTCAAGATTAAATCTCGATATTAATGTTTTCTTGTCTCGTCCCACTCTAATGCATCACAACAAAAATCAGAAATCTGACAAAATGCAAATGATCTTCTAATTCACGTTTCTATACAGAAAGAACGATTTCAAATATTAAAAAATTTAGCTATAAGTACAGATCTGAAAATAATCTTTTTGAACCATCAAAATAATTATGATATAGAACTATATCAATTGCATTTTCACCTCAATTAATAAAATGTTGAGTTGATTATATTCGAGAATCGTATAACGTCTATGGTTAATTAGATAACTGGAACGACGTGAACGACGTAATTTCGAAGAACCGGGGAAACTATTTAGCCGTTCACAAAGAAAATGTTCTCTCTTAATCATGCGTTCATGCGTTACTAAGTGATATGCAGAGTGTACACACGCTCGTATTTTATCGCTACGTAAACACCTTATGCGGCCGAGGTGCTATACGAGGAGCTACACATATGTAGGCTCGACAGAATTACGGCTCATTTGTTATTATTTACGACGTATGGTGCATTTCGATAATTTGTGATATTACATAAGTTGTGCTAGTTAAAATTGTTTTATTTAAATACTTTTGCGCAATTGTTTTTGTTAAAATGAATATTTTTATAATCAGCGCAAAAACGTTCGTTGGTAATCAATGTCGGTTTAATAAATTGTAATTTATAGATTGCATTTATCTGCTTAACTTAAAAATTGGATTTAATTAAATCTAATATTATCATTTATAAATAGTGTACATTTTTTACTATTTGTTAAATGATTATAATATACTTTTTTAGAAAACAAATATATATTAAAAATTTAATTTACTTTTGTGTTAAAGGAATATTTCTTCTCTTGATTTAAACATTATTTTATCCTCGTATTTTTTATATGTATATAGTCGTAATTTGATTTAAAATTAGTAAGATATTTATATATTTCAAATATTTATATTTTTAATATTGTTTTTTTTACTGAGGAGCAAAATCGTTTGCTCTTACATTCTGAACATTGAACGTTCTACATCACTGTACATTCATTGTTCGCCGCCGATTTATAAATTCACTCATGCGATATTCATACAATTAACATCGTGCGATCTCGCGTATACAAACGGCAAGCAAGTTGACATTCATCCCGAGTTAATCCAATTGGAGAGAGGAGTGTCAGTTTGGGCGCGGCTTGATGTGCAGTTCACCGATTAAACCTGGTTGAAAATGAACGGTCAGCTTCAATCGAGCACCGTCACTCTTTTAGAATGATCTCCGACGTGTAAAATGGTGAATTATGTTGTATTTTATATATCAAGCAGAGATACACAAAAAGTTAAAGAAACTCGAGTAAATTAAAATTATTTTCTTAAGAATTTTGATAAATAATTACTTTAAATTGATTTAGATTGACTCTTATTCGCCATTCTCAACGTATTAATTATTGTTTATAAAAAGAGTCCTTTATTTCTTCAATTATTTGTTTTCAAAACCGCAGGTTGTAATAACGCGGAGAATACATTGCAATTCTGTTCATTAAGTAAAAATTTACAGTTTCTAGATTAATTGCGTTTCAAGACCGAAAATCCATCGGCGCGCAAATATTTAGGAGGGGGGATATTTCAGATTATTAGAGTTGCGTTGTAAGACCGAAAAATCTTTCGGCGCGCAACAATTAAGAAGAGGGGACATTTAAAAATCAGATTATTTGGGGAGACTATATATAATTAGAACGTTATTTCTCACTTTGGATAAATATTGCGAAGAATATTACTACGTCGACCCGCCATCAGAGGTCTATCGATATTCGCAAATTCTCGCAAGTGCTGAGACACGCGTATATCTCTTTATATAGAATCTCGATTTAATAACTTACACCGGCGTCTAAGGTAGGCTTCCACTACAATACCTTACTGATGAGTCCAGTAGTGGAAGCCGGGACGAAACGCCAAACATTACGTGATATTCTTCGCAATATAGAATATTAGAATATATTATCAGATTTAGATTGACTCTTATTCGCCATTCTCAACGTATTAATTATACTTTAAATTTATTAATAAAATGAAATTTATTAATTTGTATATAAAATTTAAATACGTAGACCATGACTTGATAAGTGTTATAATCTTTAAAATGAGATACATATATAAGAGATTAATTAAGAGATTTTAACTTAATTTAATTAAAATAAAAATTATGCAGTAAATTTACTAAATACTATACATATTTCATTTATTAATTATTTTATTAATGCTTATTTTATTAAATTCCCATATTAAAAATTATTGTACTTTTTAATTTGAGAAGTTTTGATTAACTTATTACAATTTTTGACATATTTTACATATTTATCAAAAACTTCTTACATTATTTATCAAATTTTTGTTAAAATACGTAAAAAAATTAATAGGGTTACTTAGTGATAGCAAAGTAGTACAGGAGTGATTCGTAAGAGTAAGAGAAATAATTTATTACTATAGATACCAGTAAGCAGATGGAAGAAGCTCACGATATAGATTAAGCTAGACTTCTTTTTTTTTCCTCTCATGTATACTGGTATACATGCCGCAACCGGGCCACGTGGCATGTATAGCGAGATAATACTTTGATCGCGATTCATGTCGAATCGTGCATCTTACATCTCCAAGCTACCGTTTGATCATTTAATTAACCTTGATGATCTTACGTATAAAATAGAGATCTAGCGAGGAAGCAGAAACATACTACTATCTCAATATATTATAGTAAATTTTGTTTAAGCGCTACTTTGATGCTTCTATGTAAAATGTTCCAGAAAAACATGTATTACGAGTATGTATAATTTATGTCAACATAATCACAAAATATTGTCTGCAATAATTCTTTTCTAGTTTCATTTTTCTGTATTATTTTAAATGTAACGTATTATTATTTAATTTTCTATGTATGTGTGATAGATTTTTCGTGTAAAAATATATTTATATGAGAATTAGAAACCGTGTTCTCTTGCGTATTTATGCTAATTTCCAGTGATTCGCGCTTGATGTTTATTTCTGTGCATTAGTGAAGCAGTAAGTGCGATAACTGTGCAAATGTAAAATGTTCATCCAGAGAATGGAAACAGTGACACGAAATTATGGCTATCATGGCATAAAAAACAATTTGCCACAGTTTCGCTTGCACACTATTAACCCCAAAGTCGCGATAATAAGTCCACTGAAGGTAAAAAGAAGCGAAACATAATTGTGTTGTAAATCGAAATATACGAGATAAGAATCTTAATTGTTGTCTTTAATAAAAGAGTATATTTTGTAACTTCTGGCGTTTTTACATTTCATTTGCAAAATTTTTGCATTACCTTTTGACTTTCGACAGCATGTTACAACAGATGCACGGAAATTGAGAATTTTTATCAAGCGTAAAAGCGTAAATTGCTCATCTGCATCAGCCAAAGCGGGTGTGTCGCTTCCTATTAATTCATTTTATGATCAAAATCAGTACGGCAGTTTTTATTGTGACTCCATTTTGACTTCCTAAGAAAATAGGAATGCATATAGAGGAAATCATTTATCATTTACAATCTGTGTTCAACGAACCGCTTGGATCATTGATCTTAAACACATTTGAACGAAATATGATTTATCATCTCTCGTATAAATTTCTGGACTGGTATAGCACGTGTTATACTGACTGTTTTAGTGTGGCGTAAGATTTGGCAACGGTCATCTGATAGATGGCATTTTCACGGAACCAACTTTACAACCGGGTTACAATTTGGTGGCAGTGGTCCCACGTGGCGCCTTGGCACTGAACGTGACCGAACTCCGTCGTACGCAAAATTATCTTGGTAAGAATAAAATAGGAATTTATGACTATTGATGAAGATAAATTAAGATAGTTAAACTATTTTCATTCACAGTTCCATTTTTCCATTAAGTCTTGCACAATACATTTAAGCACGTGAGATTTGCATTTATGTAAGAGATTAGAGCAACATATATATTTTATGTTTTCGAGTCTAGTACTATATTTTTAATGATTATGATTATTTATTGTATTTTAATGCCTCTATTTTCTAAAGCCGTAACATTACAAAACGTATAAAATTTTTTTAATGTATACAAAAAGTATACAACGGAAGCTGACAATAATTACTTTATTACAAGATATAAATTGATGTCGATGCATATATGCAACTTTGTGTATTTTGCAATGTAAATTGGACGTTACATGATCAGGACGTGACTAGCGATTCTTTCTGCTGGCGTTTAGATACTATCAATGCTAACATTAATTGCACGATTGGCGCCAGGAATAATTCAGCGGTATTGCTTTGGATTTCGTGGAAATTGCAGGCAACCGGTTGCGAGGAATGCATTTCCACCTACCATGATTTCTCACTGTTTATGCACAGTTTACGGTAACCCGTTACACAGCGTGGTCGTTAAATAGCAACCTGACGATTAAGATCATCATCGTCCCGCGGATGATTACATTGCAGAAATTAATTTGCAGCAGGCATTCTGTCTGCGACATAAAAAATGTCGCAGACATAAACGTGATTTAAGAGAATAAAAACGTTATTTATTTCAATAAAGCTGTATTACTTTACTAAGGTTTATGTCAAATAACGTTTACAAATGGCAAATTACAAGAAATTTAAGATTTATTGAAAACGCTTATTTAATCATTAATTATTTAAACTATGACGTTCGTTCAATTATCTGATTATAGTTATGTGCACTACATACATCTCAGTTTTTTCTAAATCTATAAAACCCAATTTTTTTCATTATCTAATTAACTTGTGGTTAAGCTTAACCTGATGTTTCACTCAATTGGCTTTATCCATGACATCATTATATAGATGAAGTCCATTGGATAAAACATCAAATTAAACTTAACCATAAGTTATCCGAATAATGAAAAACCAGGTATGAGAATAATAATTTCCTGTTATAAAATAATATATATTAAAAATTTCATGATTAATAGTTTTGATTTATTACTATTGAATTTTTGAAAATCAATTGATTTTTTCTTCTTTGAAGAATATAACATGTTATTTTTAAAGATTACTGTATTAAAGAATATCTTATATAATTTGTATTACTGTGCAATTTAACAACTGTTATTTTAAATTTATATATTAGATATAAAAGTGACTACTGAAAATTTATATCGTATAATTCTTGAAGATATATTGCATTTGTATAATAAAATTTTCGAAATGTTTACAACAAATAATTTTAAAAATAATAAGTAGTAATAAATAATTTTAAATCAATATTTAAAGTCACATTTAGGACTTTACATTATTTCTTAACAAATTTGGTGGTGATATACTATTTGAAATTTGATTATAAATTGAATCTCAATTGCATGTGAAGGTAATCATCATTTTGTCGCCTTCGATGCCTTTCGAATTCATTCATCGCTCGATAGATGTAATGATTGCCTTTCACAAGATGCGAATAACAGATCGTAATCAGTGTACCTATGCAACGATTGCGTCATCGATAAGCAAATGAGTTTGCTAGCAGTGTGATTTGTTGCGATCATTAACAACACTGTCGGAACTTTCATTATCGCCGACATGATCGTGCCTCCTATTATCCTCACTTAATCTGTAAAGATGAATGGTTCGAAGGATATCAATAAGAAATTGCTTCTCGTGAAATTAAATCCAACTGATCTTTAAAAATTCAGAGAATACAAAAATATAAATAAATATAAAATTATAAAGGTTAATTTTAATATATTATATATTGTATATAATATTTCTAATAAATTATAATTGTTTATAAGAGAATTGTATTAAAATTAATTTATAAATTCGAAGTTAAATTTCTCCCCTTTGTAAAATACATTTCTGTCAGTTTTAATCCACTTGTTTCTTGTGGAATACATTTGTAACATAATCTAATCTTTCACGAGGTTGTAAATGGAACGGGGATCGCTCGCTAAATTAGATGCACCGGCCCGTGCCACATGGATTACATAAATCGCGCGACCGTAAACTAGCTCATAAACGACTGCTATTGTGCATCCATGTCTTCGTTTAAACGATCATGATTGCCAGCTTTAGTGTAATCCGTGTCAATCGACGACATGTCGAAGAGCATCGTTGCTCTATATATAAGAATAAGTAGTTCACTCGCAAATAAATGCAGTCATCATAATTTTTTTACATTATATTTAATTAGATCACGTTTCTGATATGATATACGTATATATTTGATATTTAATAAATATATATGTTTAAACATATAAAATACTATATTTATAAATATACATATAACTATAATATTTTACATACATGCTCTATAAAGATAATCAATAACTATTTTTTTAACAAATGTAAACAATCAATTTTATTACAAAATTACTAATTTTTCTTTTGTAATCTATGTCTTAGGTGCAATGCAAAAGATTTAATTATAATTTAAGAAATATATAGTATAATAATAAATTTACAGCAATTAGATTGCAAGATGGCAGCTACCTGTTAAACGGAAATAATTTTATTAATTGGTCCGGCGAATATAAAGGAGCCGGAACTACAGTCGTTTACCGTCGTCAAAGTCCTCAGAATTTAGAAAGCTTTTCTGCCGCGGGACCATTACAGGAACCCATAGACATCATGGTAAGTAATATAAAGTATTTTAGTTTAAATTATATAATTTTACGTATGTTGTTTATATAATACAAAGGTAACCAACATTTATTATAAATTATAATTTCACTATATATTATAATAAACATATACATAAATAATAAATTCCAAATGTATATATAACATTTATATATATATATATGCTATTTACATATAATGATTTATAAAAGCGATGCTTATACAATAAAAATACCCAACCAAATGTTGCTCCATATCTTATGAAATATTTTATATCCTTCAACTAAATTACAGGCATTGTTGTAACGTAACCGTAACAATGGGGGCTTAGAATAGCAATTGTTACATGCTAGCAATCGTGGGCGTTAATGAGTTCAACCGAGTTCCATTTAACCCTTTCACTGCTGATTTTCCACTACAATTGTCATAAATCGTATAAGTTCTATGTTTAATGATTAAATTGCGTACTCTTGTACTTTCAGTTATAATACTAAAATTCAATAATTACAAATCATCTGATAATTTAATAATTAAAAAAATTTTATAATAGATTTTAATTAAAAATAATTAAGATTTATGTAAAGCAGTATAAACTATAATTTTTGTTAATTTATAGGTTTTATACCAGGAACCGAATCCTGGTATTGTTTATCGATATCGAATTCCTGGAAATACAAATTTACCGAGAAGCAATCATTTCCCGCATAATGCAGGTATTATTTCATTATAACAACACATACTTTTAAAAATGTAATTCAAAAATATTAAGTTTTATTAATTAAAAAAATTTTTTTAGCAGCAGATAAATGATTATTGTTTACTAATTTTATTTATATGTATAATTTTTTAACTCACTTTCCTTAAAAAGACAATTTGATAAATAAACAAAAATTGATATTATAAAAGTATTTTTTTAAAATAATAAATATCATATGTGAGATATATATAAAAAATTATTAAAAGTTAAACATTGTTTGATTATAGTTTCCAATAAAGGCGTTGAGCATAGTTTACAAAATAAAAGGTAAGAGGTTCATTTGATAAATTAATATATATTTAATTTATCCGAAAATAAAATATACACCGTTGAATAAAATTTGTGCCGAATATAACACATGTACCAAACGGTTTACTTCAATTTTTGTGTTTATTTAATATAATATAAAATAAATATGTTAGAAAACAATAAATATTGTGTAAAAAGAATAATCACAAAGAGGATAATGTTAACATAGTTTATAAAACAAATTATGGAGATATGCCAATTTCCAATACAAATATACGTTTTTTACTGTGTAGGCATAATCTATCTTTTGATAATAAGCAACGTGCACATGCTTACCAATTTCATATCTAGCAGATAAATAATCATAAAAAATCTAATTTTAGATTTGAAAATGGACTAACGATGAGTAATGTAACATCGCTACCGTATTCACCACGACGTTACAGAAAAAGAAAATTCATCTGGAAAGCAATTGGTCACGGCGAGTGTAGTAAATCATGTGGTGGAGGTAAATAAGATTTAAACTGATAATTAGTTTGTTTCGTAATAAATTATGTAGAGAGTATTTGTGAAGACAAAGAGTTTCTGTATGTTACATAAGGTGTACAGGTACTCAGACACGTGTGTATCAAAGAGCACACACAGCAGCCCGTACCGGAAAAGAAATGCCATGGGATAGAAAAGCTGCATGAAATTCATCTCAAATGTAATACTATGCCATGTCCTCCCAGGTAACCTGATTTTAATTTATATTCCGATACATAAGAAGTTTCTCATATCAAATATAATTATACATTTATTACATTTAAACTAAAATTTTATTACTATTGACAAATAATGAATAAATTTGTTTTTAATGTTGCAAAAATCTGATTAATTATTTAACACACTTTTTCTATATTATAAAAAAAAAATCTTTCAAAAAATTTTTAAAGATGGCGAGGCGGACCATGGAGTGACTGTTCTACTTCTTGCGGTACTGGGGTTCGTACACGAGAACTCGAGTGTGTACAGGAAGTAAAAACGTCGTTAACGATGAGAATTGCTGATGGCGCCTGCACAGAATTGAGAAATCTGCCGACAAGCGAAGTGTGTGAGATGCCAGCATGCGAGGAGATTAGACCAACGTCGACGCAGACATCTCTTCAATCATCGACTTCTCAATGGACCGTTGGTATTTGGTCTCAGGTAATTTTGTTCACACAAACACATATATGCAAAATTAATTAAGTTAATATATTAATTTGTTACATATAAGAGAGGCAAATAAAATAAAACGTACGATATAATATATAAAATTTGATAATAGAGCAATATTATGTTAGAAAAAACACGACACTAATTACCATAAGTTTTGACTAAAAATATTTCAAATGATGTCCATTGAATGTCTTTACATATAAATGAATTTCCACCAATAAAAAGATAGTTTCTAAAAGAATTTTTCAAACTTTTCTGTTATAAACAATTATTAATAAACATATAAATATTTCAATGACAGAGAGAGAGAGAGAGAGAGAGAGAGAGAGAGAGAGAGCAATTTTTAATAATTATTTAAACAATTGTAACTTGTAATGTTATTTTTTATAAAGTGTTCCGTGTCCTGTGGCATGGGAAAAAGAACGAGGATCGTAACTTGTGCTACTGAAGATATTCCATGTGATCTCTTAGAAAAACCTGAGGCATATGAAACATGCGATTCAGGATCGTGTCCCGTGAAATCAACGCCACTAAACGTTGTTTCTGCGAAGCTTCAGAGCCCGCAGTGGTTATTCACTGAGTGGTCTAATCAGGTGAATTAAAAACACTTTTACCATTTACAAACTGTATAAGAAAAAAATCGTTCTAATAAAAATAATCTATAATTAGCTTATTTGCAATATATAATAATAATAATAATTTATTAACAGAAGAATTGACCAAAAATATAATAAGCACAATTTTTAAGTTATTATATTATCTAAAATATTATTTGAAAATTACGTAGATTAAAAAATTTTTATATTAATTTTATTGACTAGCTATAATTATCGATTTTAGTGTTCGGCAGAATGTGGAACTGGTGTTCAGACTAGGAGAGTTCTTTGCGAAACAAACTCTAACGAAGAACGTTGCAATGAATCAAGTCGACCTGAGATTTCCAGAGATTGTTCGAGTAACAGAACTTGCAGTGGTCAGTGGTTCACAGGACCGTGGACGGAGGTCAAGCTTAAATATAATTGTCTACATAAAAAGAGTCTATAAAAATCCATAAAAATTTTAAATATTAAAGTAAAAAGTAGTATCACAAAAAGATAGAGATTATAATTTTATGTGTTGATATGTGTATTGTGTGTAGATACTTAATACATGCTTTATGTACTATTATAAAAATTTAAAAGAATATTTATAATTATATCTGCTCTATTATGTATATAATAATTATTTTAATATAAAAATATTTTTATTTTAATTATCAATATTGTGTCGAAAATAATTTTATTTCTTATAGTGTTCTTCAAGTTGCGATGAAGGTGAGCAAGTTAGAGACGTTGTATGTGTTACAACCCTTCGAGGTTCTTTACGTGTTGTCTTAGACATGAATTGTCCTGCGAATAAACCGGAGATTAGAAAATCATGCAGAGAGCGTACCTGCACCTCTGATTGGTTTACATCAGATTGGACGCTGGTAAAAATTTATTTTATTATATTAAAATCTTGAAATTAAAATCTTAAAGGCTATACATATCGAACTTAACAAATTTTAATTACTTTCAAAAATCGATTTGCAGTGTTCACGATCTTGCGGTAAAGATATTCAGAAACGCGAAGTCCGATGTCTAAATTCGGATGGTCAATTACCTGAATCATATCAGCTTCACTGCCGAGAAGAGGATCGACCAGTATCTCGAAGGATATGTAACGATTATGTTTGTAGAGACGATTTACACGTGCCTGAAAATTCTCACAAGGTTCTTCAAGTTCATGATGATCCCGAGATAACGAATGGTTAAGTGAATTTTTATAAGTTTAAAATATCGAAAATTAATAAATATTATACGGTTGTTAATATTTTAGTAAGTCTACACGTACAAAAATAACGTTTTGTTAAAATATCTAAAAATTGAGCTATATATTATATATTATATATATATGTATATATAAAATTTTAACATTCTAGCAACTAGTTTAAGCATTCTACATAATTGTTTTGATGGTTCAACGAAATTATTTTTAGATCTCTGTAGCTACCAAAATTTTAGAGATTTTTCAACCGTATTCTAAAGTAATCCTTCATATAACAAATTATATAAAATAGTATTTTAATGTATTATGTATTAACATTTTATCTATTTTAGGTGTCGAAGACAATCCAGTTTGTAAAGACAAAATGGCTAACTGCAATTTAGTCACGCAAGCTCGGCTATGCTCTTATCAATTTTATAAAGAATCTTGCTGTCTGTCGTGTTCTCGAGGCAAGCAGGATTTTGAATAGAAATCCTCCCGACAATCATGCTCATTATGACTTTGTAATACAAAAAACTGCCTTCAGTAGTTTCCTGTTATAGTATATATCGCCAATTATAACTCTATTTTTATCGTCTATTGGTACAAATAATTTTTAATAATTGATAGATAAAACTTTTGTACGTTTTTTATGTATAGAAGTGTAGATATACACGTTGCAGAGCAATTTAACATGATTTCGTCAATAACTTTATATAAAAAAGATGTTTGATAAAGAAACAAAAGAGACTGAGATCGCGTATTGCCGTTATTGTGCAATTGCCGATTTGTTGTAATGATCTGACGGAGCAATTAAATCCGCACTGTTCTCGCATAACAATATATATACATTTATACATTCAACATTAATAAATATTACGCTTTTTCAATTCCTTGTTGTTCACTTACCTTCTATTTCTCTGCTTTTTTATTTCAACCCTCTAATTTATTGCAAGAAATTTTATGCAAAACATATTGTATATTATTATTCAACAATGAACGAGGAACGTGTACTATTTACATTCTCTCTAAAATATAAACTTACTTACTACATTCTCTATTAACAAAATAAATTATGTATATACAAATAAAAAAGTGTTTTAAACTAGATGAGACGTTGTATCATGGAAACAAAATGATTTCCAGATATTGAATATTGAGCTTATAAATCTTTGATTAATTCTACAAATTTTTGATTAATCTGCTGCTGGTTCAAGAATTATCTTCGCTTTCTTCTGGATTGTTTGTACTGTTATCGTGATTTTTATATGCTGAGAAAAATGCCAAGGCTTTCATCAGCTGGTAGCTCTTACTGATGGGTATATTACTGTCGTACAAGTTCTTTGAAGATTTACAGTCTACATAGAACCACCAGTTGCACTTCAGAATCGTTTGATCGAACAACGTCGATTCTGGACACAGAAAACTCTTCATGATTAGACCATCGTCTGTTAGTGCGCAAACGTGAAAAACCTAATCACACAAAAATTGATTTCAGTAGAGCACATTAAATAAAACTAATTAAATTCTTTTCTTAAGATTGCTTTAATGTAATGTAGTTTTTAAAAGCCTCACCATACATCCCAAGTCTTCGTCGGCATAAAGACCCGGGAAATGCTTTTGTTCACCACAATAGAAGCTCGTATCCGGCAGATCGACGCGACTTGCAAAATTATCGTCAAAGTTCTTGTCATATCCAACAGGATAGTATTCCCGCGGCGCATTCATCACTTTAGTAGCTCCGGAATTGTATTTACTGTAAATAGAAAAATTGAATTTTCCTTTTCAGTGATCGTATAATTGTCTTTTATAAGGAAAAATGATTTTGCTGAAAAATCTAAAATTTTGTTGGATTAGATTTGAAATAATTTTGTTGAATTATCAAAATAATTTATTAGAAATTTAAAATATGATGATCATGATATATAAAATTTTGATATTCTATTAGTTTGAATTTCCAATAAAGTTATTATATTTTGATGTTCCAAAATTATTTTCAAATTTGTGTTCAAAAAATTATTTTTACTTTTCCAGCAAAATTTTGTTTGTTCTGTATACTGTATACGACATAAGTACGATAAAACACTACACATGAAATGTATTAAGTAGATTTTTTTACACAAAATATATTTTATTTTTATAAAATAAAGACCTGTTTATTTTACCTTTTTTCAAATAATTAAATTTTTGCTTAAAAGATTTGTTAAAAAAATTCGAAGTATTAATTAGAAATAATTTACCTTTTAAGAGGTGGAAGTGTGGATGTTGTGGTGGTACTGGTAGTACTTGTAAGTGCCTGTTGTTTTTTAAGAAGCTGTTGCTGTCTCAGATGAATTGCTGCTTCCAGAGCTTCTAGAGTAATATTACTTGCTTCTGCGAGAGCCTTCAACGAAGTTTCCATCCCTTGAATGGGTGCCAAGGAAGGTAAATTACTAGGTAGTTGTATAGATTGTCGTTTCTCGTTTTGTTGAAGACTAGTATCAGTTGCAGAAAGAGGTTGCAGCGACAGCAGCGTCATTTCATTCACCGAAGCAGCCATCTCGTCGCTCGGCAATGGTAGCTATACAAAAATAGTAATAATATTTAAACTCATAATCTTTAAGTATATTTCCACAGATATCTATCTGGCTTATTGAAATATTGTAACATTTTATTGAGTGTTACGTCAAAGTTTTCGATAAGATGCATGTAATTTAACATTGTTGTAGTTTATTTCAATACCATTACTACAATAACTATAATAATAATAAACAAGATATCATATATTATATTATATATTGAATAATATTGTATATTTATAATGTAGAATTTTAATAAAATTATTGTCATTAAATGCAATTATACCTGTGTGAAATCGTCTTTCGATACTTCGTTATCCGAGTCCTGTAAAAGAGTGCTACTACCACTGATTCTGTCCGTGAGTTTTGATGATGATTGCGGCATCGCAATGAAAGGTGGCAAACCAACGTTTGATGATATTGAATTAGCCGTTGCTTTTGATGATGGAAGAGCCTCGGCTTCGATCATACCAACTGGTGGAATTGAGGCGATGATAGGTAGTTTCGGCAACGCTCCCGTCACAGTTATCATTTGTGGCTGTGGAGAGAACAGAAAAATTATTTAAATTACAGAGACGAACAAATACGATGTGCTATATATTATTACCAAGATTTAATCAAGTATGATATTAATTTTCAAAGAGTTTTTTATTAGAATAATCAAACCCATAGAGCTAAAAATATGTACATATGTTTGATAAAGTATCCGAGTAGCGAATTGTCCAAATAGAAAATAAATTAAAAATTAGTAACTGATTAGAAATTTTGGTTATTAGTTAATTGGTCTAGTAATTTGATATAGCAATCAGGTCAGTTTGGGCGATGTTTGTTTGGATAATAACTAGGATATAGTAAATCTAGCAAGTTTTTAACTAATTATATTAACTAGTTTCTAGCAAATGTCTAATTGATCGAAAACAAAATTTTTCGTGTAAAACAAAAAATAAAATTATATTATTATTAACTGCTTTCCAAAATAGTATAAAATTCTTAAATCTGATTAATAACAGTATTTTATACAATGTCAAATTATTATTCATTAACATGTTTGTCAGATGTTTGAAAATATATAGTAATATTGTAAATAATGAGAAAGAGAGAGAGAGAGAGAGAGAGAGAGAGAGAGAGAGAGAGAGAGAGAGAGAGAGAGA